TTACTATCTTGCACCATTTTTCCTTGTTTTCTCTCATCATATGACCGGTCCAACGCCATTTCCTCCAAAAACTCCGTTTCTTTTCATACTTACCTCGTTCCATATCAATGGCACTCATCATCATCGCTAACATATCAGCCACTAAATGTACATTACTGAATATAGACCTACCCCAAAAGACTATTGACTATATTTGTTTAAATTTAAGGCCACACCTTCATAATTTTTTTTTTAATAAATTTATTTAATAAAAAATCACATTTGTTTTCATGGCATAAGTCGGTAAACGAGCAGACGGATCACCTAATGGTAAGCAATCGGCGTCGCCCATGGACACCTGAAACATCAGAGGCGTTACAAGTGTTGGGGATTAGAAGTTTGAGGGTCATTGGGGATTCAGGGGTTGGGGAGATTGAGGAGAGCCGGTCGGTAATTGGGCCTTCGGTAACCTCACTCACACGACGAAACACAACGCAAGCGTTGCTTCACGTCGGTTTTCTGCTCGGCCGTGGTATCACTTCGGTCGAGCCGGCCCATTCGTGCCGAAGCATGGTTCTCCCATACATGTGGTGTTTGTAGCGGTTATCACTGACAAATTAATACAATAGGCAACTACGTACATCTATACATATAATAAAATTGTAGAAAAGTGCTGTCTGTACATTGAAAATACAAATAAAAAAAATAGCAGGGGCTATTGTTATGTCGATGTCAAACCCAAAAATGTAACTAATTTTTTTTTTGTCTGTTTGTCTGTTTGTCTGTTCACGCTAATCTCAGAAATGGCTTATAAATATATATATATTTAACAGGGTGCGGAAAAGGAGATAGTGGTTTTATTCCGCAGATTCCTCTCATTCCAAAAAATTTTCCGTTTAATTTTAAACGAATTCAGTTTCCAGTGAGCCTATGTTTCGCCAGGACAATTAATAAAGCTCAAGGTCAGACTCTAAAAGTTGTGGGTATAGATCTAAGTATCAGCTGTTTTTCGCGCGGTCAATTGTATGTGGCTCTGTCCCGTGTTGCTTTCACCCCCGATGGCCATACGTCTAATATTGTATATAGAGAAGCATTACAGTAAAGTAGGTTTTTTAGCTACCCAAAATGACTGTGATTATGATCCAAATCTAAAATAAAAATAAGTATATATTTAAAAAAAAAACGCTGCTCATAGTCACTATTCTACGCGAACGAAGTCGCGGGCACAGCTAGTTATAAATAAGATTATAATTAATTAATCAAATTGCTAACTAATTATTTTACACATTAATTAATAGCGTGTTTGTAACTAATTTGAATCGCATAATTAATAATTCGTTTGGCTAATTTAATTATTCTTTAACTCGTCGAGTACCGTCATTATAGACACAATTATAGAACAATAGGTTGCGGTCACCGGTGACCGCTTGGTGTTTGACAGTTTATTACTAGCGGCATGAGTAGACATGTAAACAGCACCTGTAGTGCAGAGTTTGATTGATTGTCCAGTCAAATGATGGGATCAGGGTTGCTGTCCAGGCGACACGTGTTCACCACACCACCATCCCAATAGGGCTGATGCCCGATACGGAGCCGCGGAAGGTCTAACGGGTTGCCGGGACTCCCTCTCGAAGAGCAGGAGTAAGAATGGGGTGGTTTTTAGTCAGTAAGAGTCTGACACTCTCTCTCGCCTAACTTAAGACCGAAGAAGTAATTAGATGATTGTCCCCCCTAAAAAAAGGCGACTCATGTATCTATCGTCATGACCTAATGTTCACATGTAAACAGCTGATGTAAGTAGTCATGTACTGTAGTTTGCTGATTCAAACTTTGGTATTATAATGAACAAGAGATTTTAATAATATAACGAAAACTGACCTATCTAAATATTAACCGCGGTAAGAGTAGCTTAACCTTTCAGAGAAGTCGCGGGGAACCTAACGGGTAACCGGGGCTCCGGCTCGACGTGCAGGAGAAGGAACGGGGTGGTATTTAGTCAGTAAGAGTCTGACACTCCCTCCCGCCTCACCCAGGCGGGAACAGTCATTCGATGATTTTCCCCCCTTAAAAAAAACCTTTCAGAGAAAGCATTTCACTTTTCAAGAAACGACATAATAATAAAATTTAATCATAAAAAATAATATTAAAAGAGAAACGTACCAAAACGTAAACGCAAACCGTTAAATTTAAAGTTAACGTAAAACTTTTACGAGTTCGCGGTTTTAAAGTACATAGCGAAAGTCTGTAATGCAATTGTGGCCAATTATGCGTTTCCATGTTTTGCCGGCGACGGCGGGGCAGTGCTCGAATTATTTTCGCTCGATAATATTTTATCTGTCACGCTTTTATTTTTTTATTAATGTATTTTTTTTCTGGTCGCTTTCCCTATGTACAGGTTGTTGTTTTTTCGTAGGCATGACTTATGAATTGACTAGCTGATGACAGAGTACTAAACATTTGTCACGACCTCTTCCGGTGGTCCTCTTCTGTTTCATAAAAGAGTCTGCCGTATTCTCCACTCAGTTTACAAGCTTCAGGTTATTGCCCTTATCGGTCTGTCGAGAAGTCAATGAGGGAGACCTCAGTTAGCTGAGAATGTCATGTGGCTGATATGATGATGACGCTTTCACGACACCAGCGGGAAAAGTAAAAATGTAGGTGTGCGGTAGGTAAGATATCTATATCGCATTCTACTCTAACATTACGATACAACAATAAACCGCTATAAACATATTAGAAAAATTCACCCGAACTAGATCACACTGTACATAATAAAATGGCGGACAAACGCACGATTTCCGTTATATCATAACTCCAGTAATAGCAAGTTAGTGGCTATTATGAACGTTATGTAGCCACTTTAACGATGATCTACAGTCGCAACGATTATATTGTAGTCAAATTGTATCATAACGATATAACTTATATGTCATTTTGTTAAATGTGAGTTGTAAAATTACCTGCAACGACTGCCTCGTTATACGAGTGATCGTAAATGCGACTGCCGGGTAAGGGGTCTCGAGTTCGATTCCCGGGTCGGGAATCGAACCCAAGACCCATTGCCCGACAGTGCACTTGCGACCACTCGGCCAATCAGGCAGTCTTATTCTTTATTCTTCCTTATTCGATGCGATTCTCTTTATCTTCATCGACAGTCATTAGTCCTTCCATTTATGCTCGTCGATTTAGAGTACCTAGTTACTTTAAATTTAACCCTTCTTTAATATTTCGCCAATCTGTCCATCTAGGGCGCCCTCTACAGACGGTCCAATTCATACCCGCTCTTTCGTGAATCTGCTTTCATTAATACTTGTTACATGTCCAAACCATTATACCAGTCCCTTTCCAATCCTAGTTACTACACAGTCTTTAAATCCACATCTTTCTCTAATAACTCTTCTGGAATTAATATAAATTTACGTTAAGTATGGGAGAGCCATGCTTCGGCACGAATGGGCCGGCTCGACCAGAGTGATATCATGAAACAACGGTTTTCGTCGTGTGAGTGAGGTAACTGGAGGCACTATTATATCATCATCATCAGCCTGTATTCGTCCACTGCTGCACTTATGCCTCTCAAAATTATACAATACTACACCCCTCCCCTATCTCTTCAATACTGAATCCCCAAATTCTCAAATTACTAATCCACAAAACACCGGTAACGCAGTTTCGGCTGTCCATGGGCGGCGCCGTTCGTTTACCGGTTTATCAAATTAAAAAAGAAAAAAGCAATCATAATAATAATATAAATTTTTATTATCAAATGTAAATCATTCAAATATAATCCACGCACGTACTTAAATTATTATATAAAGAAAACAAAAGCAAACGAAATAGAAAGTGAAATGACAATATTATTTAGCATATGCTTCTAGTGCAAGCTGCAGCTAGAAAGTGCATTTTAGAAAATCAAGTAAGTAAAAGTACTCCCTAGGCCTTTGACATGAAGCCAGCATCTAAAGTAGGCAGTTCTTAGAAGTAAAACAACGGACACTTTGCATACTAAGTATTAAATTTTATGAGCTTTCAAATGGAAGGAAAATTTGCTGGTTTTCAATAGAAGAGTTTAAGTGTGGGAGAGCCATGCTTCGGCACGAATGGGCCGGCTCGACCGGAGTGATACCACGGCCGAGCAGAAAACCGACGTGAAGCAACGCTTGCGTTGTGTTTCGTCGTGTGACTGAGGTTACCGGAGGCCCAATTACTCTCCCCTTCCCCAATCTCCACAATCCCTGAATCCCCAACGATCCTCAAACTCCTAATCCCCAAAAGGCCGGTAACGCACTTGTAACGCCTCTGGTGTTCCAGGTGTCCATGGGCAACGCCGATTACTTAGCATTGGTCTGTCCTCTGGTGAAGCTAGCTGCTCGTTCCAAAATCCACAGTCTATGTACCTTTGGTTAGGTGCACATTGAGGCACGCATTGCCACTATACAAAGTAGCATCCAGTTTTCAATATTTATATTATGAGTCTCATATAATGGGAGTAAGCCTATTGCCATATACCTACCTGGCATAACTCCAGACTCCGTGCTACTACAGAGATTAAAAAAAAAACCCGTAATAATTTGCCCGACCTGGGAATCGAACCCGAGACCCCTTGCCCGGCAGTCACACTTGCGACCACTCGGCCAACGATAGCAGTACTGTATAGAAAAACGAGCAAGATAGTCCCTAGGTTACTCTTTTTCGATCAGTTTCACAATACAATTCTTGTAAAAAAAAAATGAAATAAACTTATATTTGAAAATGCTTTTTATTAGTCTTATAAAAATGTTAAGTAAATACTTAGTGCTAATTATAAATATGTATATAGATTTTTAGTACTTTATTACAAAAAAATATTGCATTCAATTTCTTCGCGGTAACTTATCAATTTGGTAACTATAAATTATAATATAAATATAAAATACACTTATACAATATTCTTATACAATTTTAATTGTACTTATATTACTTATACTAATTACACAATACATTTTAAAATAAATATTATTCTTATAATTATAACATTAATATTCATACTTATAATTTCGAAATACGCATCGTCAATTCAACCTAAATACAAATTTGAAGTCAAACTGACAATTTTTGGAAGCACCAAGCCTTTTATAATAATTATTTTATTAAAAAATTACATTTTAAATTGATAATGACGCTTATTTTACTTATAACTTATACTATTGCTTATAACTTTTACTCATATTATAAAAAATAGAAATACTGTAAGAAAAATATGAGTAATTACACAATTTACAATAACCACTTATATTTTCCTAGAATTTTCTGTACTACTCTCTTGTTTACTCTTTTCTCTTTCCAACAATCTCCTTCTGACTTCTTCTGGGTTATATCTTTTTCTATAGACTCTTCTTACTCTTCTGACTGGATTCACGTTTCTTGCTTTGATTATTTTTTTGCCATAACTAGCAGGAGAAGTGAGATTAGAGATTTTAGTCTCATCTAATAACCTCAAATTTTTACTCTTTCTCGTAGAATTATTTAAAAATGTGTCTCTTTGTTCTCTTATTGTGGCATCATAGAAGACTTTTCCATTAACTATAGCTTTGCGAATATTCTCAGTTGTAGATAAAACTCTAGGTGGACGGACGAAAGAAGTTTCACTCACTTCTAAACTTTTGTCAGCTGCTGCTGCTCTTTCTCGCTCTCTTTCTCTTTCTATCTCATCTTTACTCACTTTTTGTATCACTCCTCTTCTTTCAACATTAAATCTGTTACCAAAATTAAAATCTAGTAGCTCTTTATCGATAGCTATACTTTTAGCTTCTAGTTCTTTTTGGGAACGCTTATCTAGAACCAGTTTGCCACCTCTTCTAGAAGCTAGTATTCTTCCAATCTCTTCTATCTGCCTTTCTTCAGCTTCTAAAGTTTTCAAATCAGACAATTTCTCACCTTTAACATCATCTAAGTCAAAAACTTCAATGGAACTTGAGAAATCGTTCAACTTGTCATCTATACCTTTAATTTTTTCACTCAACTTTACACTTTCAGGTTTAACTAGTTCAACTTCAGTTATGTTTTCAGTCACCGCTTCCTGTGTTACTGGTACTTCAGTGGTACTTGGTATAACTTTTACTGTGGTACTTTGTGGGACTTTTATAGTGGTACTTTCTAGAGTGTCGTAATCACTTATGTTTCTTTGTTTTTCGTCTCTGTGTCTTTCAGTGTGGTCTGGTCTTGGGGGGATGGTGGATATTTCTCGAGGTGTTGTGTACATTTCTGTAGTTGTTGTCATCTGTTGTTGGGTTTCGTTGTAACGGAAATAGGTTGTGTTTGGTGGTGGACCTTTGTGTAGATAGGCTACAGGCCAATATCTGGGGAAAGATTAAGAGTATTAAAAATGTGAATGAAGTTTGGATATCATTGTTCGGTTATTAGCTAATTAAGGTTTGTTTTCTATGTCATGCTTGTTTTCGAAACGAACTTACTACCGACGCGATTTTTGACAAACGTTAATGGAGAATTTGCAGCAGTTTTCAGGCCACAGTTAAAGGCTTCAAGTTTTTCAGATTTCAACTTAATTACTGTGTAATAAAGCCGAAAACTGATTGTCACAAAGTTGCATAGATTAATTTGCTGCCTTCTACATCAAGAAACAAGCTTTTCAACTTTACAAGAATAGATTGTAGAGGTATTGACATACCTTGGTACTCCCAACCCTGGAGGAGGCGGTCCATCAGATCCTTGTGATGGAGACACTGGCAGCCAGGTTCCAGTACCAGGCTGTGGCTGGTTGTGAGTGAACTTGATGTACGGACGAGATTCTGTTGGAACTCGAGAATAACCTGGAATACAGGAGATAAGTGTAAGATTACATTAAACCTCTTCGGTCAGAGGTTAAGCATTGCCATATAACGTGGCAATGCTGCCCGACTTCTGGGTACCTACTTTCCCAGCTGACATCATAGCGGAATAATTTTTGACGCTCTTCCTAAATAGTTTTTTTTTTTTTATATTATTTGGAATATTATGTATAAGTTTTGTAAGTTTTAAATGTATTATGTAAGTAGTATGTATATTAACATAACATAACATCACGCCTTTTATCCGCGAGGGGTAGGCAGAGGTGCACATTATACCACTGTACAATGTAACACCCACTTTTCACTATTTATGTTATGAGTCCCATGTAATAGGGTGTAAACCTATTGCCATATACCACCATATACTACAGAGTTTCCTTAAAATACCCAGTTATACTTTGCTCGACCCGGGAATCGAACTCGAGACCCTTTGCCCAGCAGTCGCACTTGTGACCACTCGGCCAACGAGGCAGTCTCTTATTAGTTCCAATTTGAAGCAAATAGTATTAGGATGTTCGGTATTTCAACATTACAAACACAATAATAACAACCTCCTTGATTGAATGGTACGTGGGACTTATGATGGATTATCTCTGTCTAATCTTAGTGATCATTATTGTTGTTGCGACTTGAGCGAGTAAGATAGACATACTTTTCTTTGGAATGATAGTGGTTTCAAAACTACGTCATTATATGTATATCAAAAGTGGAGTCATGTTAGTGAACGCGGTAATGAAGATTGCTTCTCTTTGGTTGAACTCAATCCATAGATCTTCTGAAAGGATTTCATATTTGATGCCTAGGTCAGGTAATAGGCGTGTCGACAGGGTAAAAAAATCAAAAAAGTAATTAGTCCGTCATTAAGATCGCACGAAAATATCAGACACGTATTTTTTGTTTTATCAAATTAACAGAAGAATACGTTGTTATTCCGCATTAAAGTTAGGGAGTGGGGGGTGTTGACGTCACACTTACGGAGAAATCGTACCTAAGTGTGACGTCACGCGTCATTTTAACTCAAAATATCTACATGTTTTTTTGGATACGAGAAAAAAGAAAAAGTACGTATCGAAGATTTTTAAAATATCTAAAAGACGGACAAAAAATTAAAAAATAGTCGCCATGCCTATT